TATATATATATATATATATATATATATACATACAGTGGAATATTACTTAGCTCTTAAAAAAGGAAGGAATTCTGCCATTTGCAGCAATCTGGATGGACCTAGAGAATATTATACTTAGTTAAATAAGACAGAAAAAGACAAATGCTATATGATATCACTTATATGTGTATTTTGAAAAATAATACAAATAAGTATATATGCAAAACAGAAACATACTCACAGATATAGAAAACAAACTAGTGTTTACTGAAGGGGAGAAAAAAGGGGAGGGGGCAAATTAGGAGTATGGGGTTGAGAGACATAAACTTCTGTGTAAACAATAGATAAGCAACAAGGATATATTGAATATCACAGGGAATTTTAGTCATTTTCTTGTAATATCTTTTTTTGGAGTGTAATCTGTAAAAATACTGAATCATTATGCTGTATACCTGAAACTAACATAGTAAAATCAACTAGACTTCATAAAAAATATAAAATCACACTGTTGTACAACTGAAAAAAAAAAAAAAAAGAAGAAGCAGCAATGGTTATTTTGCCTTCAGAGACTGTCTAGATATATCATTAAATGTTCTGCATAGAGGGTGACACTTGGGTCCAACACGGGTGTACTGGGCATGTTAATTTTGTTTGGCTGTTATCCATGTCTCCTATTCGTTGCACCTTTATTTGGGTGAGGGAATCCATCCCCCTCTATTATGTGACCTGGACCATATATATGCTCACCCTAGGCTTTAAGGAGAGCACATGACTCAGCCCGGCCAATCAGAGCACCATGACCCACTAGTGATGAACTGGGTCAGGGATGTGCTTGTGACCTCAGCCGGGTCCAGGAGAATTCTCTCTGGAACTTTTGCTGGAACCTTTAGGAACAAGGTAGTGTCTTCTTCTGTAACAGAGCAGGACCCTATGGGACCTTCCTGGGACAGACCCCTCCCCCATATCCTCTGCTGTAGTTTTTCTCTGAAATACCCAGATAATAGTATCTCGTGCATATTTCCTGAGTTTTTCAGATGCCAAAGCCACCACCAAATGGAAGAAATTAACTACTTGATGATCATGAGCCAGTAGTCTCCAGACCTACTGGTGCCTAAGGATTGACAGTGTGAACCCCTGTGACCCTGCCCTATTACCTCACCATCAACCAATCAGAGAATTGTGTACAAGCTGATCACATACCCTGGGGTGCCTCTCCCTCACCTGGCCTTTAAAAATGCTTTGCTGAAACCCTTCAGCAAGTTTGGGGTTTTATTCGAGCGTGAGCCACCCATTCTTCTTGTATGGCCCGGCAATAAAACCTTTCCTGCTCCAAACTCTGACATTTCGGTTTGTTTGTCCTCACTGTGCATCGGGCACACAAGCCTGTGTTTGGTAACACTTCTGCTAGGGTGGCCAAGCTGGTAGATTGCAGTCTGGAACTTCTGGTAGCCACTTTTTTGCAAACACTGAGAAGCATTAGCCTTTGCCTGAGAAAAAGCCAGCCCAGAAGAAAGCAAATCAAACAGACGGTGCAAGTAAGACATTCCTGAAAATGTAATTGAGCCCTTGCTTCCCTCTGGGCCTGAGCCCATCCGTACCCCTGCACTGTCAGTGAGCCAATACTTATTATTAGGATTTTAACTTAAGCCAGTGTAAACTGAGTTACACTGACCACCGAAAGAGTTCTGATTAACACAACTAGTTTTCTGTGAATGGGAAGAATTTGCCATGACAAGGAGTGAATTATTATGAGGTCTTGGGGTCCTAGAGGAGAGTGACTGAGGAAAATCAGAGTAAAGGACAGGATTTCAGGTTAGCTATTAAAATAGTGCAGGCTGCCCGCCAGATAGCGAAAACTAGGTTTTATCAATTGACCCATACTGTAATGTGTGAAACAAGACATTGTTTAAAAAAAATAGTGCAGGCTGGTCCACCTTGTTCAAAAGGAACAAAAGCCATATGTCTGAGGCTGAATAATAGCCTCCCAATGTTATCTGCTTTTTAATTCTCAGGACCTGTGTATGTTCCTTTATATGGCAAAAGGGACTTTACTGAGTGATTAAGGTAAGGATCTGGAAATAGGGAAATATACTGGATTGTCTGGGTGAGCTCTAAATGTAATCACAAGGGCACTTATCAGAGGGATGTAAGAAGTCAAAGGAGGATTAAGGTGATGAGAAGACAGACACAGAGTTTGGAGTGCTGTGACTCTGAAGCAGGGGATGCCAAGGCAGCCTCTGGAAAAGGCAAGGGACAAATTCTCCCCTGGACCCTCCAGAAGGAACCAACCTTTCATAGTAAGATGAATTTCAGACTTTTGATCTCCAGAATCACAATAGAATAAACTTGTGCTGTTTAAGCCACTACATTTGTAGTCATTTGTTATAGCAGGACTAGGAAACTAATACCCATGTTGAATTAAATGGATCTTTTTGAGATGGACCAAATATTGAAAAATATTTTGCCACTTGAACTACCAGCAGCTATTTGGGGAAAACGATCTCCAAGTATACCTGGACCTTATTCTCTGAGCTAATTAAAACAACATTTCTAATTAGGGGTAAAGATGGGGATTTCCCAGGGGTTGGATGACTTAAAAGGATCCTCAGGTTCAGATTATATCATGGTGTTCATGATTTTATCATCTAATTACCCAAGAGAAGCACGTTAGGAGGCCTAAGGATGGTGGGATGATTCTCCAGCCGACTTGAAATGTGGAGAGACGAGAAGTTAAAATTCCTCTCAGGAGACAGTGTGTCAGTCAGGAAACTATTTCCTGTCTGTTGAAGTATCTTTTTATAGCTGGGAAAATCTACTTGTGAGCCATGGAGAAAGGTTTCGGTTATTTATTGACTTCGGCTTTTGGAAGTTCATGTTCTTGGACGTGAGCAGATGTTGGCTCTGGGGAGAACAAGCTTGAGGACAATTACAGCACAGATGTAGGTCTGCAGCGCGCTGGCGTCACCCATCGCTGCTCATTGCTGCCCGTGAGCGGGAGAGCGATGAGGGCCTAACCTTCCCGGAAAGAGGCAAAGCGTGTTTCACCTCAGCTGTAACTTAGATGCCATGTCCTACCTTGGTGAAGTGCCATTTTGTTTAAAAGAACACATCGTGAGCATAGACAGCTGGAGACTCAGAAGAGACACACCCCGAACACGCAGGCCGGTCAGCGCCTTTACGCCGGCTCTTCTCTGCTATAAGCGCTTCTGGAGAGACAAAGCCTGGCTGAGTTGATCCTTAGATTGGTCTCAGCACAATAACTCTTGGGCAAATCTAGGGACAAGAGTCTCTCCTTAAACCCTCCTACACTGTGGGTGGCAGTGTAAACTGGTGCAGCCGCTATGGAGAACAGTATGGAGGTTCCTTAGAAAACTAAAAATAGAGCTACCATATGACCCAGCAATCCCACTCCTGGGCTTATATCCAGAAAACATGAAAACTCTAATTTGAAAAGATACATGCACCCCAATGTTCATTGCATCACTATTTACAATAGCCCGGACATGAAAGCAACCTAAATGTCCATCGACAGATGAATGGATAAAGAAGATGTGGTACATGTATACAATGGCATATTACTCAGTCATAAAAAGAATGAAATAATGCCATCTACAGAAACATGGATGGACCTAGAGATTGTCATACTGAGTGAAGTAAGTCAGACAGAGAAAGACAAATATGATATTACGTGTATGTGGAATCTAAAAAACAGATACAAATAAACCTATTTAGAAAATAGAAATAGACTCACAGACATAGAAAACAAACTTATGGTGACCAAAGGAGAGGGGGAATAGAGGAATAAACAAGGAGTTTGGGATTAACAGATACACACGACTATATATAAAATAGATAACCAACAAGGACCTACTGTATAGCACAGGGAACTCTACTCAAGACTGTGTAATGACCTATGTGGGAAAAGAATCTAAAAAAGAGCAGATATATGTATATGTTTAACTGATTCACTTTGCTGAAAGTAACACAACATTGTAAATAAACTATAGTCCATTAAAAATTAAAGGAAAAAAATAGATAATGATGCCTCCAAGCCAAAGGGAGTCTGCGGACTGAGCTATTTCACGTCCATGGGCTTGTACTCCCTTGAATGGAAGATGGAGACACACTGGGTGACTCAGCCGCGGTCTGGGTGCGGAAGGGGCCGTCCTGCCAGCTCCGGTGCTGAGTAGGGGGTGTGGAGATGGGAATGATGCTCAGGACAGACTCTAACAGCCTGTCTCTGCCTGAGACGGGGCTGTCTGACTTCCCGGCATAATGGGATTCCGTTTGCAGTCAAACTAACTTGAATTACCTTAGCAAGTGTCAACGGTTTCCCTCTGAACTGTGTCAAATGCTCTTCTAAAATTAGACTAACACGTGAAACCCTTACACAGGTTTGGTTTTTTGTTTTTTGTTTTTTTCCTTTAACAAAATCTAGATCCTGTTTCAGGCAGAGATGCCACTGGATTTCATCACAGGGAAATTTCCCCCGAGGATTTTGATGCCTTTCCCAACACGCGGGGACCTGTGGAGGGGGAATGTGTGCCCTGGGGGTGTTTCCTGTGAGCGCGGCTGTGCCCCTAATTCACCCTCTCCCCTCCAGAAGCGGCTGCGGACCCCGGTAGCGCCTACCTCTTTGAGAACAGCTGCTGCGTACTACCACACTTGTAAATGCTGAGAAATGGCTCGGAATGAAGTGAGGACTTTGGAGATGTCACCATTACTGTTTGGAGCCTTGGGTGTGGGCTGGCGAGGCAGGTAAGTCACCGCTTAGAAGGTGGCTTCGTGGGAAAGGGCTGCAGGGCCTGGGGAGACGCCCCGCTCCTTTGAGGCAACGTGGATGGGGAGGGATTTAGCTCAGGGGCCGTAAGTCATCCGTGCACATCCCTCCGCCGGGCAGGCAAGGGAGACCCCGACGGGAGCCGGCCGCCCGACGTGTGAGCAAAAGGTGGGTGTTCAGGTCCCAGTGGGCCCCGGGGCAGGCAGAGCACGTGGGGACCGCTCAGCACTGAGGCGACCGTCACGGTGATCTGGTCTATGGGGCGGGGGCCGCCAGACCACAGAGCCGGCCTTTCTAGGGTCTCCGGGAACACGGGGTCCGGTGAGCAGGGAGGCCTTCGTGTCCCCCCCACCCCCTTTCCCACTCCACCCTCTCTTCCTTCAGTCCTTGCCTTCTCCCCACGCCCCGTTGCCTGCTCTGCTGGGTTTGCTCCCTCTTTGGCTATGCTGTCCATACGCTTGAGTTAAGGGGACATCGATTTCACCGTTCTCTGTATTTTTCTCTAGTAAAACCCTGTGCCGTTCAAGGTAACACATCCTACCCGTCCCCCGCGCTCTCCCCCAGCCCCATTTCCTCTGTTTCCGCTCTTCACAGCTGGCAGCGCAGGGAGGGTGGGAGTGTGGAGGGGCTCTGACCCCCTCCTGGCCTGAGCTATAAGGATCCAGGGGTTCTGATAACATGCCCCAACCCTTGTCTTCACTGCAAGTCACCTAAGAGATCGCCCCCCAAAGGAGGGGCACAGGAGACCCCAGGACAGATCCCTCCGGACTTCTGCCCTGCTTGCTTCAGTCACCGCCAAGGCCAGAAGCCCCAGTCCTCCAGGTCATCCTTTTTACTCTGACTCTTATTCCCATAAAGTTCAGGACATTCTCATCTGGCTCAGCACGCCCCTTCCTGCCCCCCTGAAACAGGAGGCAAGGGGGCAGGGCACGACCTTTAAAAGAATGACATAGCCATAGGACATAACGAAACTGGTTAGAACCGACTAGGTCCAAGATGGCGGAAGATTTAACTTCCAGTGGACCTTGAGCCTCATTATACGCTCATTCTGACACATCAACTAAATGACACACCCACCTGAGCCTGACCATAAAGGTCAAAAAGTGGGCGGTGGCCCTGTTCCTGGAAATCCCCGCCCCTTCCCCAAAATAGCCAACTATAGCCAATCCTCCCACTTATTAGCCTATGAAATTACCCAGCCCATAAAAACTAGCCACGCCATATTTCAAGGCCTCTCCCCTTCCGAGATGGCCCATACTCTGTATGTAGAGTGTGTTTCTCTCTAAATAAATCCACTTCTTAACCTATCACTTTGTCTCTCACTGAATTCGCCCTGCGACGCGACGTCAAGACCTCAAATTCGGGCTTTCCTGGTGGCGCAGTGGTTGAGAGTCCGCCTGCCGATGCAGGGGACACGGGTTCATGCCCCGGTCTGGGAAGCCATGGCCCGTGAGCCATGGCCACTGAGCCTGCGTGTCCGGAGCCTGTGCTCCGCAACGGGAGAGGCCACAACAGTGAGAGGCCCGCGTACCGCAAAAAAAAAAAAAAGAATATGCTGTCAGAGGGAGAGGGGGCAGACAGGTGAGGACCGCTGCCCTGGGTTTTTTCATCCAGCTCCACCTTCCCGAGGGGAGGAGGGACTTTGTCCTTATTTAGACTTGATCAGAGGTGTCATGGCGTCGGTGCATGATGGGAACTTCTTATTTGCAAGGTTAATGTCACTGTAATGGGAACATAAAGGGTAACAGGTTACATTCGGGCGCTGGAGATTCTCGCCTTTCCCCAGCTTTCTTTGCGTGTCTCCGGGACACTTATCATCCCAAAATGTGTGGTTTCCTGGAGGCTCCTGCTTTCCTTTGTCTTCCCGAGGACCCCTGCTGTTTACAAGATGAGTGGTTTCCTGCCGTCTGGCCCCTGCCCCCCTTTCTCTGCTCACATCTAGCTCCCTGCCTGCTGTAACACATAGAAATGTGGATGTCCAGAGAGCTGGGCTCTGAGAGACTACCAGCCACCTGCCAACATCCATTATCCATTTCTCCGTATTCATACAGGTATGATACACTCACTGCTGGCCTGTTAGATCACATTTCCCGGCCTTCCTTGAAGTTCACAATGACTGTTAACATGTAACTGTTCTAGCCAAAGGAACGTGAGCGATTTTTGGTCAGGGCCTCTCCTACGTTCCGCTTCTCCTTCCCATTTGCTGGAATCTAGTCTGAAGGGAGATTCATCTTTGATTGTGCAGGGGTTGACAATGGTGTAAGGGATGATGGAGCAGTGAGACTGAAAAAAACCGAACTATTCTCCCCAAACTGGCTGCTCATAGAGCTATTACATGAGGACAAAATCAACTTAGTTACTCTTTAAGCCAATGGACTCTTGGAATCTTTGTTACAGCAGCTTTGCCCTCACCCTAGCAAATACAATCTGTGAAATAAAATTCGTATTTAATGGCATGACAAGAAACATGTAAACATAAAAAATCCTTCTCTGCCCTTTGGCCCCCTCTCTCCCCACACTGTGCATTGTGTGTCTGCCTTATGCTTGGACCAGACCTCCCCCATCAGCAGGAATACCTGCTCAAGTATGAACAGCAACATTCTGCCAGCATCAACAAGACAACTCCTTAAAGATAAGATTCCTTCTTGATCTTCTAAGGAGCCACATGACCCACCACGATGACGCTTAGATCTGGATCATGTAAACTGTCAGTAAATACATCATTTGATTTGCAGTCCTCCGTGTCAAAAGACTTACATAACTGTGCCTTGGCTTCAAACAGGTGGAACAGTTCTCCGAGCTTTCTGAGATGCTCTTCCTGGGTTGTAATCCTCAGATTTGGCTTGAATAAAATTCTCCATTTCTTTCTTAGATCGACTGATTTCATTTTTCATTGACGAGACCTTTATTACATTTCCCCTGAAGGGTAGCAGAATAGGCCACCCCAAAGCACACCACTTTGACGTTAGGATTCTTTTGCGTTGAAGGCAATTCGGAAGCAGGTATAAGAAAAACTCTCTGCCTTCCCCTTATTTGCCTAATAGTGGGACATCAAATTGTAAAGGTGCCCTCCCGCCCCACTAGGAAGGACAGAGGTTTTAATCACCGGAGACAATTCTAGACCCTCATCAGCTCAGAGATGGCATCAGAGGAATCTACATAACAAACTTGGCTGAAACAAGCCCTTATCTTTCCTTAGTTTCCACATGTACTTACCTTCCACAACTTGCCATCCTAGACCCTCAGAGTCCTTTTTTTTTTTTGAGGTACTCAGGCCTCTCACTGTTGTGTCCTATCCCGTTGCGGAGCACAGGCTCCGGACGCGCAGGCTCAGCGGCCATGGCTCACGGGCCCAGCCGCTCCGTGGCATGTGCGATCTTCCCGGACCAGGGCATGAACCCGGATCCCCTGCATCGGCAGGCGGACTCTCAACCACTGCGCCACCAGGGAAGACCGAGTCCTTTGTCTCATCACTTCTCTAAACGTTTACTGTTCTTTTGTTAAGATGCTAGATAAGCCCAGATTCTATCCATCCATTGCCGAGTTTTCCCACGTGTATGCGCGATACACATGTTAATAAACTTCTGTTTGTTTCTTTCTTGTTAATCTGTTTTTTGTCCATTTAATTTATAAAGCCCCAGCTGGGGGACCTCTGAGGGTAGAGAGAAAAATATTTTTTTCCTTTTCTACACCCCCATGTGCTCATACAAGGAACTTGTGTTTATTAGCATTTTGCTAAAGAAAATACGCGAAGGATAACAAGAGTTTAACGTTATAGTGAAGGATTAGCATAGCTTAGAGCTTTAAACAGAGCGTTAGATTTGTACTTTTTCTAATGCCCCTTTCTTAGGACTCTCACGGGGACTTCTCATTGGCACCCTTTACTTGGTCCCCCGCCTCCTAATTTCCAGGTCCAATACCTCAGCACTCATATTCAATGCTTCATCATAGTGTCTGACCCTCCTAACTACACTTTCCTTCCTGAACTCCGCTCGTCTTATTTTGCCCTCATGACAAAACTACATGGCAATCTCCTTGCTGGCCTTTCGCCCCAGCCCTTTAATGAAAATATTTCTCAAGGGTGAGTTCTTGACTCTCTTTTCATTCTGCACTGTCCCCAGGGAATCGTGGACATTTCCCTTCCTCAGAGGACAGTTCCGTGGGGATTATCCCCAAACCTACTTCTCCGGCTCTGACTTCTCTCTTGGGCCCCATCTCGCATTTTGGACTGCCTCGTATCTCTGACATATAGGTGTTTCACCAGATCAAACACACGTATTTATACATTTGACAGATATGCTTTAGACATCTATTAAATACTGTGCTGGGCAGTAGGAGTACAGTGACGAGTAAAATGGATAAGATTTCTGCCTATTGAAGCTTGCAGTCTATTGAGTAAGGAAGGACTGGATGGTGTGGATTTAGAGAATGTTCTGGGCAGAAGCTATAAATAAACCTGAATACAGGCCCTGTGGTAGAAGGGACGGAAATGTCGAGGAGCTTAAACATCAGGGTGGTTCCAGCAGAAGGGAGAAAGTAAAGCAAGGTTCCAGAAGCACAGGACAGACCATACAGGGCTTGCAAACCGCGTCAAGAGTTTGCTTTTTATATTGAGAGGTACTGAAAGCTGTTTTATACAGACTTGATCATATTTTCATTGAAAAGATCCCTCTGGCTCTGGGGAATGGAGCAGTGGTAGATTAAAAAATAAAAGCTACAAGGGGTATTTAGTAGGTAAGATAGGATTTGGTGAGAAACTGAATATAGTGGGAGGGAGGGGAGAAAGGAAGATATTATAGATAATTGCTAGGTTTCTGGGCTTGGATAATTGAACAGATGGTGGTACATTCACATAGACAAGAGATGTTGGAAGAGGACAAGGTTTGAAGGGGAATATAGGTGTTAAATAGGCAGTTGATCTAAGGGTTTATATCTTACAGTAGAGATGTGGGCTGGAGATGTGAATTTATGATTTTTT